CGCCACCAACCACCTCCATGGTCTCACATGTTCCTGACTTAATTGACCAATGAAAGGACGCGACCAGCGGTGCAGCCACCGACTCCTCCACCTGACCCAACTGATTGTTGCAGGTTCATACACGCCACACGCACAAACTGGCATTGTGTTGTGTTTCCCCCTTGGAATTTGCATGGTTTACTCTGAAACAAGTCCTCACCGTGTACTTTCAACCCAACCCCATTGTCAGGACACCGTTAGGCATTAATCTGCATTAATTTAACAAAGGAATCGTGGTTCCAGTCCTCAGACTGGGGCCCACAGCAAATTACAGTCGCGGATCCACCTTACGGAAGCGCGTTTGCGCCTCAATTACCAGGGCTACGTGTTGCTACAAGGTCGCGTGTCGAACGGATCACTGATCAGCTGGAGTGGGGGGGCTGTCTGCGGTCGGTGTAAACACTCCGTCAACCCCCTCCGAATCGCCTGTCTCCTATTGGTCGAGAACGGTGTAACTATGGCGCTGTTTGTTGTTAATCCTACGCCTGAGTTAACTGTTGGCCTTAGCAACGGGGAAGGGAGTTGGTGGCCGAATTGGCCCGTCTGTGATGTTGTGAGGTGTTCCCAAGGCTCGTCAACCGATTTTGTGAATTTTCGAGTGGGTGGTAATTTTGCTCCCACGTCTTCGATTGCACTAATGAGCGCACGACGTCCTGATGAGTTTTGCGTTGCGTGAACAATCCGATTGCCCAGATTGTTCCTTAAAGCTGGTTAACGCCTCAACTTGTGACGTTTGTACACACAGATTACTACCAGCAATAAAGTAGTCACATTTTAAAATCCCACACGAACCAAATATGGGGATCAATTTTGGTGGCAGAAATGTACAATTTCGAGCAGAGAAGGCCTTGTTGTTTTCTGTCCATGGAAAATAGACAAAAGATCAATAAGACTGGTCTAAATTTGTGCACATAGGGGTCACGCTCCATTCGTAAATTTTAGTTCTGAAATGACCAGTAATAGTTGAGTTTTCGTGGAATTAGTTTTGTGTGAGGAATCAGAAGGAAGCAGGTTGCGTACAAACTCAATCTGATTGTAATCAACATTGATGTGACATCTTCGAACGTGTCAACATCATGACTCGGTTACAGGCCCATACCTGATTGGCTGAAAGTTAGGCAATTTTTTCACAGAAAACGAAAAGGCACAACTAAATCACGAATAGGATTGAAGTAACACATTTGGATGCATTTTCCAAACGTACGACGAGCGAGTCTCGGTGTTTAATGGTCCTCCTGTCTCGACCAATGAGTTGAAGGCGGACAATCGATAAAAATACTGCTCACTACCCTGTACAGATTGGCTGGCTTGGAATACGCGCTTTGTGTCGGTCGTGATTTGAGGCTCTCCACCAAAGTTTGTCTCCAAGACACCTCTAATTCGGTTGCCTAATCGATCGCGTGCCTAATCAACCGGTGGGGCGTGAAAATTTAGGATGCCAGCGTCACACCCTCAGCTGCCACTGCATCAAGACGCGTGTTTATTTTGTCTACTTGTTCAACCAAGCGGTTGCCCCTAGTAACGCCGCGCTGTCCAACAAAGTTCCTTCCATAAATTTTCATGTACCAAATCACTCGGGAACGCACGAGAGTTAAACGAAGCGTGTATATCACATGACCACGACGATCACAGTAGTTGTTCTCATCTGCCCGAAACCATATTTACTGCATCAATGATTGCCCTGTTAAGTTTTCGACCAACCAATTACACTTCGTCACCTTGTAAGGATGCCAATAGCAATATATCTATTGATTCGTGCCGTGCAATTTGGGGCCCAAATCCTATTGGTGAATTAAGTAGAACTTGAAGTGGGCAATTTATTAAGTCATGACTTGAGTGTTTACAGATTTTTCAACAAATTTATTTAATGCGAAGCAATTAAGAACAATAAATTTGATTTTGTAATTGTCTTCCCTGCGCCATCTCTCTCAGCTAACTTACGGAAGCCGTCGCTAAATAAACTTGTAGGCGACGAGGCAATAAAGTCATCATTGACGAGTTCACGCACGTCGTCCAGCGTTTCAGGAACCGTTCATCCACCAAGGCGGATTGCTGCTGCTGCTGCATTGACTGGAATAAGTGGTAGTCGGATGGGGCCAAGTCTGGTGAATACGTCGCGTGTGGGAGAACTTCCTATTCCACGTTCCAGAGGGTCTTCTGAATCGCGACGCGAGCAACGTGAGGTGGTCGAGCGTTGTCAGGCAGCAGCGGCAGTAATACTTATCTGCTTCCTTGCCCAGTAAACGGCCTTTTCTGATCAAGTTCTTCGCAGACTTTGTTCAACTATCGGCTGGAGCCTTCCGCAGTCACCATCTGACCAGTTTCCAGGAGTTCGTAATAAAGTACCCACTCCGTGTACCGCCTTCTCCAAATGAATGTCCTATCTCGACGTCCATGTACTGGGTTTCTTGGGATCTGCCCATGACACCCTTTACACTTGGGATTCTACACTTTCCATCACCCTTCCTTGTTTTGTTATCGGTTCTTAACGTTTGTACCAAAAATCCCATGTTTCTTAGAAACGGAACGTCGTCACCAGGATCACATTTTCCTTGATGGAATTCACGTCGAATGTGGTAATTATCAGCTGTCATTGTAAATTCTGCTATTCCGAGAGGGTTGTGCAACTCATGTAGATGAACCCACCACGTCCTATCCCCTCGAAACCACAAAAAACCGCGAAAATAGTTCAATTTTAAACACGCTTTGACGCCCGACGTCGTAAACCCCGTACTAATTCAGTAATACCGTCGGCAGTCTGCCGCGGCCACGTTTGTTTCACAGAATTTGAAGTTTGACAGCCTACTCACAACGTGCGATTGATTAGTCCATCGTCTTCCATGACCTGAGGAACTCGAAGTCTTCGAGGCAGTAAAGTCATCAAGAACTGTTTGTCCACTAAGGCGTGCTGTTGCTGCATTGACTGGAATAAGTGGTAGTCGGGTGGGGCCAAGTCTGGTGAATATGCCGTGTGTGGGAGAACTTCCCATCCCGTCTTGAACACGTTTAGTCTTCTACAAGTTCGACGTCTGTGCTGAACGTCCCAATGGAACCATCACCATCCTATTTCTAGCTAGATGTAGCATCGCTTCTTGCATACCTCACTCGTCTACAGAACACGACATAAACCTCTAGGATTGTCTATTCCTTCGAGTACTAAAACCTATATTTTATTGGTTTTGTAATCAGACAGACGTGGTAGCTGCCGTATTTAATCCATTTCTGCTCTTTGAGATTTGATTTGGTTGAAATCCTTCATTTATTAGTCCTTTTTCGCAACTCAGTAATACCGTCGGCAGTCTGCCGCGGCCACGTTTGTTTCACAGAATTTAAAGTTTGACAGCCTACTCACAACGTACGATTGATTAGTTTTGACTAGATTCACCAATTTTAAAAATGCAGCCATTTCTCTTAAAGCCACAAGTAATTTAACTGGCGAGTCAGTTAGCAGTGCACGCGATGGCATCGTTTTTTGGAGGCTGTGTGAACATATTTAACCGAACCGCGCGCGCGCTCGCATGCACGCTCTTTCATTTAGTAAAACAAAAAACGCGCACACTCGCTGCTCACGCATACTGTGTGTATATTAAAACTGCGGTAGGCATCATATCAGCGGCAGAGGTAAGGGGTGAAGGAGCGAGGCCGTATAATTAACTGCGAGATGGCGTGCAGTTGCTGTTTATGTGAGGCCACCTACAAACGAATACTGACACGCACGCACGCTGATGGCGGCATGTGGGGGGGAGAAGAGGATTGGGTGGTGGGCCGGCACGCGATCAATGGTGAGTTGGTAGACCCCTACTCATCACCCCTCACCCCACACTGCAGTTAATAAAACCTAATTTGTAGACGAAGAATGCTGATTGGCTGGACAACGATGACAACTCCTGGTTGGAGAACTCGTCCAGTTGTATCTTGTCTCCTGAAGGACATCCACTTCTTGTTCATGGACGCATTTCGTTGTTTTAAAACCTCTTCAACCACTACAACATAAACCAGTGGACTAGGTGATGTTCTTCGATAACTGGTGGCTCTAACAATACAACATTGATTCCAATCAACCAATCAAGGGCGGAATAACTAAACAGGGCGCAGGAGGAAAGAATATAGGGTTCATATCAAAAGTCTGTGACCTTGAATCATGCAATAGGCCAGAAGGATTATTCAGTGCTTCAAAAAAACCTGAATGTTCTCGATAAATCGAATGTGCAGCTAGGATGATGCCATCATTAGATTCCAGCCGTTGCCATGACTACTATATCAAGTACAAACAGCCTCACCAGGCATTAAGACCACATCGAGGTCAACTACTCAACTGACCAATCACAACTGTCGATGGCTGAATGGGAATTGATGTGGTGCCCTTCAGCATTTCAAAATGCCAATTTTGTCTTGTAATAAGAATTTGTAATTTCGCGAACACGTAAATTTAAACACGAAATTGCCATGAGTTACTGTGTCGACATTTGCGCTCAAATTTAGGTTAATTTACAATTAAACCTTTCAGTTACAAGATCAAATTATATTTCGCCTGTGAGGAAGTGCCCCAGCCAATCACTGCCGCCTGCTGAGATGAGCGTCTTATCTGATTGGAGGATGATGCGACGGCAAAAAAGTCAACCAATAGACGCCTCGCTTTATCCGCTTTTGTTTTATTTACAAATGAAAATCGAGTAGTGAAGACAAGTTCGGGCGGGGGGAAACTAGTGGTTCAGGAGGGACTGTTTCGATGGGATGCTTTTGGTGCTGAGGTCGATGGGGGTCTCATTGTCGTCGAAAGAGTTCGGATGGAGGTACCAGTTTGAATGCTGTTCACCGATCTTGTTGCTACCACAGGCTGGATTCGGGGGGTGGGTTTGACTTGTGCTGTTGCGAAACGACTGGCGTTTATTGCAGAACCATACGCGTATCACTTCACGGTCGTAGTTTAGTTGATTCGCCAACTGAGATATTCTCGTTCCTACACAAAACAAACCAATCACAGAGGCTTCAATCCGCACTCGCTCAGTCTATCGGTAATCGATACTCAAGGCGCGCGAGTTTAAAATTGGTGTGAATTTAAGATATGTAGCGCCGAGTTGTAACAGTACATAACACGCATAGACATTCCGGGAAATAAATTTTGGGTTTTCAATCGGAAAATTGATAATATTTCAATGGAGTTAGGTCCGGATATCCCCATAGCCGACAAAGTCATGTTTGATGTATCGATTGCATGGGGTTACAAATGAAGTTAGGCGTAACGAAACTAATTGGCCTCGAGGAAAATCTCACTGAAGTTAAGTTACTACTTACATCCTTAATAAGTAGTTTCCGCAAATTTTATGCGGATCAAGAAGAAGCAGACTGTTACCTGACGGATGCGTATTGGTGGCGAACTCGTGATTCAGGCGGTCCAGCGCATCGACGGAGAAGTTAGTCCTGCTCTTGCGCTTTCTGATGGCCGCACTCGCTTCTTCGGACTCACTCTCCAGACGGTAGATTGTCTCGTCGTCTTGGCTGCTACTCAGACTGTCGCAGACGCTGCCACCGTCACCATGGGCGACAGAAGTTGGCAACGTCTGATCTCCACCTCGACGACCCTCCAACTCAGCCAACCAGCGCTCCAGAACTGGCTTGATGCGTTGTGCCGACTTTGGGGTGATATCCAGCTTCTCAAACCTGAACAGAGTAAAAAACTTGCTACTGACCACATTACAGTCGTCGGTTTATTTCAAGTAAATTTTCAGCAAAAAATATAACTAGTTGCGAAAGGGACCCCACCGCGGGGATGACCTTTAGATGCACAAATGAAAAATCGTACCGACAGATGGCGCTCTGACTATAGGCTGGTCCATCGCCCGCAGTCAAGGCTCGACCAATCTGCGTCTGCGTGAGCCCCAGACTCAGCCGCTTCATTTTGAAAGCGCGCGCGAATCGTCGAATGTCCTCAATGTGCTCGTTGGTGTCGTGTAGCGACGTGGCGCTAATTTTCTTGCACTTCTTGCTGCCAGCACTGTCGTGGTCATTGCGAGTTGACTTGTGCAAACGCTTTGCCCTCCTCGAATTTGATTCGTCGCCTGCGTAGAGGTGGTGACCTATAACATTCAAGTGACTGGCTCACTAATGTGCAGTGCTGCCAAGGTGGCACGTCATTGGTGCAAATGGGCCTCCAATCTCATTGGTTAGGTGTGCAGAATAGTCCTCTAATTAGCTTATGAGAGTTCTGTTTGCTTGTCACCCGAGAGTAAAATTAGATTTCTGCAAATAATCCTATTTTTAGAACTCTCAAAAATTAAATGGACAAGTTTGTCAACATTACGAAAAAGTCGTGATGTGATTAGTTATTCGTGTGGTGTCTGAAAACACACACCAATGAACTCCACGAATGTCTGCGGTATCCGAAATCGATTTTTTTGTTACAATGACTTTTGAATAATGAACTCACAGTGATTCGCATCGATTGGAAAGAGGCATCCGAGGTTGTTTTGAGGTGGCAGGCAGTACGAGAACCCGAAGTCTAGACTCGAGTCCTGTCGGCCAGAGAGAAGGGATAACGGGGGGGTAGAGGCGTTCCCCTCAACCTGCGGAGCCTGTAGATGCGACGGTGGCACGAGACATCGAAGAAGCACGCTCAGCGGAAACGATGGCGTCAGTGGAGGCGGTGGCGGCGGTGGAAGGACCGGGAAATTGACGGACGGGAGCGGCGGCCACATCAGGTGGATCGAACGAGTGTGTGTGTGAGTGTGCTCGCCTTGACTACCTAACTGCTAATCGCGTCGCCACCAGCCCTACACGCCTTTAAATACCTTCTTCGACAGAGATGAAGGCATCACCACCACTCCACCCTCTTCCGTGATTTATCTACTAAACTCTTTCTGTGTGTGTGAGTGCATGACTGCCACACGCTAATTTGCGGTAACCACCGCTGATATTTTACTATTCGTGCGCGGGGGTGAGGGAGCGGGTTTACTTGGAGTGGGGTGGTGGTGGTGGGGGGGAGGAAGAGTAAGCCTCCCTTTGGGGAATCTTTCAAGGGAACGCGACGCGCAGACACGCAATGCCTTTTCCTCCCTCCGAGTGCGTTTGTGTGTACCAAGTGTGTCCGGTAATCAAGTTGTCTGGCAAGCCTGAATTAATCATTTCGCCAAGGGCACTCGTCTGGTGAAGAGATCTCTGCGCCATTTGATCACTTGTCGTGGCAATTCCAGAAGCATTTGATCCACGGATGTCAGCGAACACAACCGTTTAATCGACCATTGAACACATTGTCGACATTCGACGTTTCCTCCCGTCATAATCAAGTCAAGACTTTTTGGTTTAAACTTGTCCTGTTAACGATTTACAAATATTCACATATTTTGGCCAGGCTAACATCGATTATCAATGAAAGCGGCTCACAGATTCGACGCCATAAATATCAGCTGATAGTGGCAGATTTCAACAGAAATAGTCGGTCTGGTATTCGTCACACAAAGCTAAACTGAAATCACAGATCGATAACTGAACATCAGAAATCGATAGCAGATCGGGCTGTGGTGATTCGCGGTGAAAGTATGTGCGATCAACAACGTGATTGGGCAAGGCTTCTTTGGCAATTTTCATCACCAAACCGGCCACAGATGGTCAGCATATCAAAATTCACACGCAGAACCTGTTTGCGCTTGTATTCGAGTTGGTTTCATGTGAAATTCGGCGTAAGCTGAAGCGCACGATCTGGAGTTAGTTGTTTTAGGTCACTCAGAACGTGTCGCTTGAATCCCTAACGCTGCCACGTGAAGCACAACACGATGCCACGGTGTTTGGTGCTCGTATTAATGCGAAAAACCCTGAGCGGAATAGCTAATTTGCTTCACGCTTATGTGCACCAGGGGTAAACGCTAACCCCTCCCCCTCTAGCTCTGCTATTTTTTATGGTTAGCGTAAGTCCATACTGTTCTGTAGCATGTCACGCACTCAGCAAAGGCGGACAGGCGGTAGTGGGTGGAGTTTGGCGGGATAATTAGTGCCTGCACGCACGAATTAACCCAAAATTATCTTGACAACAATTTGGAAGTCAAATCAAAGGCGATCGCACACTGCAGGAGTTGTAAAAATCCTCGGTCAGAATGTCGAGTTTACTGCATCAGTTGGATGTTTAAATTTCGAGGTGAAAATGTGAGTGGCGCTGAATTCGATGTGAGTAGTATTATCAGCTAGAATAGATAGCCAAAAGGACACGGAGGGGTGTTTTGAGCGATTTTGATAGAAAAATCGATAGCTGATCGATCAACGAATGGCTGTCATCAAAGTAAATCCGGTCACAGTAGTAGGGATGGGTTGATAATCAATTGGTGTGGACGACGTTTGTTAAAAAAACCACCTAACGCGTGTTTAAGTTGTACTGATTTAAAGACATTTTGTTTGAATTTTTCGTAACCGTCATAACGCAGTTCGATATCGATTAACTGGTTGCAGATTCTTGCGCGCGAATTCCTGCATGCCTAGACAGCCAATAAATGATCGCTTATCGATCGGGGAAGCACGCGAGCACTCTGTGCGCGTGAGTAAAGGGCAGGCGAGATCGATTCAAATTTAAACAAATTGAGGTCAAAATTCGTGTTCTAACTCTCGGATTGGCCGAATTTTCACTTTAAAATGCCGCACTTCTGAGATCTGTCATCATGTTGACAAGACAGAATAACACAATTTTAGAAAAATTCTGCGTAAATTCGGGTTACCCCTAGTAATTTAAATGTTGACAGATTTCGAAGCAAAAATATGCCAGCTCTGTTAGTAGGAATCTCCATCTTCGAACATCACAAACAACTTAAAGAATTAAACATTTGATTTCGTCCCTTTTCGCCCAAATTCACCCACAAAAAACTTATCGCAGAGATCAATCTTTTATTCGATTTCCATGGAGAATAGGATTCGGGATTGTGGGGATACTACTTAAGTATGCATTTCAGCAGACCAATCAAATCATGATTTTCAGACCACGCTGCAAATATGAATATATTCTACTCGATAGTTTTACGTATAGTAAATGCGTTTTCTCGATAAATAAGGCACAAAGTAGGATAAAAATTCATCGAGGAGAAAGTTATCGGCGAATAATCGGACGAGGTGAGGTTCTGCGAATGGACCTTCCAGCGCAGTCGAGCCTAGTCTCATCGCCAGTCGAAAGGAGGGCAGGCAAGGAGGCGCTGGAGTCGTACATGATCATCGTGGACGCAGTCATGGAATCGCCAGCGCCAAGGCCGTAGGGCGTGAAGGCGAGTGGCAGTTGGTCGTTGGGCCAAGGCCACGTGGCAGCCAACCAGCGAACGAGGTCTCTCTCGGCGTCGCCAACGCGTCGAAAGACGCCCTCTGCCTCGCACACCTCCCTGAACCACACGGAGGACGCCTGCAGCGTCAGGGGACAGGCCAGCAGACGAAACGGGGAAAAGGGAAATGCGGTGGCGGTGGTGGAGGCGTCGTCGACGTTGGTGTGCTGCCAAGCGGCGGCGGCGGAGACTGCTCGAAGCCAGAAACCAGGCAACCATTCGATGATTTCCGTGAGACCGTCCAGTTCAACGGTGTTAGAGGCCTCAAGACACTGGAAGGCGAACTGAGAGAAGCGCTGACGGAGGCAACGGCGCATGTAGCCCGCCGCGCTCTGGACGTCCGCGATGAAGGGAAAGATTCTACAAGGATTCATCACGTGGATGGGGGTGCATGAAGGTGTACTAAGAGGGAAACACGGCAATCTCATCTTACCCGGGACAGTTTTTAAGTTTCGTTGGCTCCTCCGGAAAGATTAGCGTATCAGTTATCGCGAGTAGGAGAATTCTAAAATCGGAATTCGAAGAACCAATGTCCACTCAAACATGTTTTCGTCCAGGCTTAAAGGGAAAATTTGTGCTTCCTTTGTCTAAGTACTTTTAATTAACGACATTTTGCAACAGTTTGGCACCACACCAACTATCAAGTGAATTCAACCAATCAAATGCGAGTGGTGAGGGGTGTTGTCAAACGTAGCCTACGTGATCACCAGATGTTCTCGATTGAAACATGCGGAGATTGTAGAATAATTATTCTATCGAATAAATGCCAGCTTGAGGACGATTGGTTGCTAAGTCGGCGTTTTTAAAAGTACAAAAAGGGGTTAAATTTGGAACCACTCTTTGCCCGGGCGTAACGTGCTTTTCACGCCTTACTTTCGAGGGTTTGTGTTGAAACCGAGCTCTGACATTGTTTTCACTAGGTCTGGGAGCAGAGACGGTGGCAGCCGAAGAATGATGAGACCTTCGACGGCAAGGAGGCCGTTCATGAGGACCTGGCGTAGCTCGTTTGTGGCATTCGGAGTGGCTCGGAGGTAGTAATGACAAGCATTCGGCGGATTCACCCAAAATCCTGGAAACCTGCCGACGTGAACAAGAATTTGATTCAAAATTCTCAGCATAATATACTATCTACTTAATTGCTGAAAGTAGGATAATCATTTGAATTAATTGCGAGGGCCGCGATTAACTTTCTACCAATAAGTATTTATTTTGGAGCCTACATTTTTGACATCGCATCGATAAGAATTCTGCCGAATTCAAGCTTTCCCGAGCCTCGAGGTCCGTAAATAATGACGCTTTTGTTTGCCAAAATTGACTCGATCATTTTGCTCAACAAGGAGCACGGCAGGAGTGAGATCCACGCGATGGAGGAGACGGAGAGGGGGTTAAGGAGGCTGGGCGCTACCGGTCTCTCGACCGCGTAGGCGTTCTCGTGGAGGCGGATGGTTATGTGCGATATCTCATGATCCGGGTCGATACGCAGCGGGGCCGGCTCGTTGTTGTTCGGTGACAATTGAAACTCCTTCAGTGATTGGTTGACCGCGACTGATTGAGGCACCGCCTTGATCGTAATCGAAGAAATCGCCTCGGGACTCAAGCCAATATGCTCATCCGAGTCGAGATAGTTTAAGTAGATCTACAATTTAAATAAAAAGCGCTTGAAAAATCCCAACCTTTGACGCGAAATCCGTGGGATAAGGCTTACACGCAGCAGATTCTTGACTTTCGATCGAATGTCACTTGCGAGGATGGGAGAAGATGCCTCCACACAGACCCTTCCAAGAAGATGCAAGTGCGTGAGATCATTGCTGCCAACATCGCAGTGGCGGGCGCCATCAGTGCTCGCGTAGAGACGCGCACTCGGATTGGGCGAAGCCAATGGCTGTGATTGGTTGGTTGGTTGCGCGAGATATGAATGCGTAGGACTAGTCGGACCGGAGGCCAGGCGACTGCTCATGTGCTCATCGATCGGACGCGAGTGATTGTGCCTGTAGCTGAGCTCCAGAAACACGGGTATCGGCCGACGTCCCACTTCCGGGTTCACGGAGTACAATTCTAAAAATCGATAAGAGAAATCGATAAGGTCGCGCGTTTTTAGGAGCTGTAAACCAGGAGTTGAGCAGCTGAAATTCACCACGAAGCAGTCGTCCGAGGCGGCCCGCCTGACCGGTAGTCGAGAGGCTCGCTGACCCCGTCACAGAGCCCTTATCGGACCCCGAGGCCTGGGAGCATCGATCGACGGTCTGTTGGAGGAGGGCATTCTCAGCCCGCAGGGAGCTGACTTGATGCTGCAGCTCCAAGACGGTCTCCTGCATGATGTGCAGCTGGTGCTGTCTACTGAGCGAATCGAACTGGTCCTTGGCTGTGGACGACGGCTGCTCCAGGAGCCCGTTTCCAGCGCCAGTGATCGACGAGGCCGCCGACTGGTTGACCGGTGATTCACCGCTGGAACTGTTCGGAGAATGGCGAACACTGGATCCACTGAAATAATAAAAAACCAATAGGTTTAATATCTAAAAATATGCTACTACTTAAACCTATTAAGTAGGCGTGATTTCTACCTGCTGGAACCAGGGACAGTGGGGTCGTGTGCAGATGAGGTTGACGTGACTCTGGCTCGATCAGGCGGATCACGACTTTTGCTGCGTCGGAAGGCGCGGTTGAGCGAGGTCCGCAGCTGAGAAGAAAAAATATCGATTATTTATCGATTACTTTTGCCTAGCTTACCCAGCCGCCTTTCTTGCTGTTCCGCTCGAAGGAGTCACGAATGGGCATGTAGCTGGGTGACATGTAGCCCCTTGGGGTGACCTCTTGGATGTATCGATTTATCTCTGGGTACCCGGTCACACTGTGCGGGCTCTGCACGAGGCTTGACAGGCTACCCGCCTGCTGCATCACGTCTGAAATAAGCAGAAAGTCAGAAAAACCGGGCCCTAATTTCTCATTGGCTGGCCGGATTTACGCAACGCCAACCCACCAGTCTCGATGATGTGATGAGGCTTGACAAATTCCTGAGACTGCGACAGCTTCTTTCCGTCCCGTGCATTCTCCAAGATGGAGGGCCAGTCGTTGAGCGCGGCCTGACATCGGAATCGGTCGATGATCTTCCTCAATTCTTGCACTTCTCTCTCCTAAAACACAATAAAATTTAGGGGCAAAACAGACGTTTCGGAAGCTGACTAGCAAGGTTTTTGCAATGCAATAAGACTTGTGGAAATCCATGTCTACTTAAATTAGCACAGTAGGGTGTTTTTTTATGACAGTGTTGAAATTATGCCGCGAAGGATGGGCTCACCTTGATGGCAGATGAAGCTGAAAGTTGGTGGAGTCGTTGATTCAGGCTTTGCAGGCTCTGTTCAAATGCCTGTACAACACTTGCCTTGGTAAATAATTAAAAATAATAATAATAATGAGAACGCCTGGGAAATATTTGTAATTTAACAATAAAGTTTAATCAGTAACTATGAGTTGATCCAACTGAATGAGGGCGACTAATTACAGCAAAGTACACTTTGATGCCCCTAATCATTGCACTTTCATTACAATCGCTCTCGACCAATCAGGTTTAAGGAAAGCAGAACCGAGCCACCTAATTGGCTCTTCCGTTAAAGGTAGGGATCTCAAGTTGACCCGGAAAACGCAAGAATTGAAAATCAACTCACGTTGGCTGAAAGTTGGCAAGTGAGTGCGGCGACCTTCTGATGTGCAAGTTCCAGCTCCCGCCTTAATTTTGCAACCTGTAGTCGACATTAAACACACTACTGAATTTAAATAAGTACACATGCCATTACGCGAAAACAAAGAAGGGCTAACGCACCTCAAACGCCGCTGAGTCATTCGCCTGAAAGAGATAAAATGTCATTTAACATGACTGCTTATAACAGAACTGGCCAATATTCGAGCGTAATATTTGTGTTTAAGTGATTTAATTTGAATTAACTAGAAATTTCGTGCATTTGGGCTCATAGGATTGGTAGGCTCAAGGTCATTAAAAATTATTGTAAAGATTGCAAAAGTGCGTAAGAGGTTTCTTTTAGATGGAAACATGCTTTGCAGCTTACCACAAGAGGTAATTTAAACGTGGAAGTCAGCACTGTATGCGTAGAAGCCCTCAGTTCTACTTAAAACAGTTTCGAGCCATACTATTCAGCCGAAAATAAGTAGTGTAGTGAAGTGTGAATTGATTTATGTGTTGAGCTCCTCACACAAGCTGATTCTCCACGCGCCGAATGTGTAGTGTGCGTTAAACAACAGCGTGAACACGTAGCCGTCAAAAACTGCGCCAGAATTTGTAAAATTGGCCAATTTCTTGTCCAGCAAACAGTCTGTCTACGTGGGTGTGAGAATCGCGCAGACATTTGGACAAATTTTACGCATTCCGCGCTCAGATGCGCAGCAGCAGCACCACCAGCAGTTGGCCGATCTGGTGACTCATCGCTTGCTTTATGGTGTAACACCGATTGTGTGCACAAATGCACACGTTTTCTTTTGGTGTGGGCAGAGAAATTTGCACGCTAACAAATTCGGGCTTTACTTCGGACAAAATTCAACAAGGGTACCTAGGGTAGGCTGAAAAGTGGCCTTGGGCAATTCACTTAATTCAAACAGACCGCTGTTTAACAAGTTTCCTACATGGATGTCTTGAAAACGCAACTTTGAACAAACCGGTTGTTTTAAACAAACCAGCTGCAGGCATTCGATGACCTTGAGCGGCTCATTTGGATGCTTATTTGACCTTGAGCAAACCACTTGATTAAAACAATAAGGCAACTTTTGTTCTTTAAATCCTTCATCGAAATCAAAGGCAATTCAAGGCTTATTCGAACCAATCGGAAGAGTGGATAAGCAGTGTGTAGCGATTACACAAATATCGTGTTAGTTGACATCCGAAATTCCGTTTTGCAGATGGCGGCCACACAGTTGATAGCTTCAAGACAACAAGCTATCAACTGCATCGACACAGTTCTCCTGTCCCAAGGATACTACTTACTTTTTTCGAAAGTAGTATCAGTTGCACAAAGCGAAAAAACGTAGATGGATCAGGATGTTTGCAAAACACCGAGCACAGTTGCATAATCCAACTTTGCCTGTCTACTTGACATTGCTGGCAAAATACAAGTCCACTATTTCACCTTTACGACGAAATGCCAGTTAACCCGACAAAATGGTTTGTCATTTATCAACCCAATAATTTCCCCCACCAAGTTTTTAAACAAGCATGTGTGCGTGTTATTCAAACATCAATTTAAAGGCCATGGCTGATTAGCCGGAAGAACAAGGCCTGTTTTTGTCTAGTCTTTAGTCTGACCAATCAAATTATTCTTTTTTTTCAACTAAAAGGTTCTTCCCAAATGAGTCATTTTCCTGGTTGTGTAAATTAACCAAGACCTCTAGTTATTTCTGCTTGTAGGTCGCTTTGACCCACTAAAACGTTTCACAACATTAAGCAGTTATCGCGAGGGATGAAGAGGCGTTGGTAGTGATCTCTATTCACCCACGTTTTTGGAATTTTTGTCCAGTGCCTTCAGAGGCCTGATTTTAACCAATTAGAGAAGAGGACAGCAATCATCTCAGATTTGTGCGCTGCTTTCAAATAAACTTGGATTTTTTGTTTTATTAAACTGAGATTTTGCGCATATTATGACTCAACAAATGAACGTACCGCTGACATTACTGATCCAGAAGACGACAAACTCATATACGATCCAAAAGCTAAAACAGATCGAAAATAATTATCTAATGCACTACCTGCAACCTTTAGGGTGATAAGTGACTTGACAATTGTGAAGAAAGCAAAATAAAAAGGCCATTTTCTTGTTTCCTCCTTTTTTCTAGTTGGCGATCGATTTGTGTAAAGGACTCACGCGCGCGTCTCCCATTGGCTGCGACTTCACTGCTTGGCAATTTAACCCAATTAATCACTGCGGCTATCGATTTTGCGTTGACATTGTTTTAATCAATGTTAAGGCCCACCAAACGCGTTGTTTAAAACAGTCGTTACTACCGGGCTCCCCATGTAAAGATATATTTAACGTCAACCGATCGAATATACAGATACGAAAAATTTGAAGCCTTTTTTCCGAGACTGTACTACTTAATTGGCTTTTCAGCGTTAACACATTACGGTATTCAGCAGAAAACAGTCGAAATGAATTCCGCGAACCAGGAAGGAATCTGCAGCTGAAAGATGTTGCAAACATTGATGGTTGTTCTATAAAATACCTACGCGAACCAAAAATTCACTGGTCATAACACTCAAAATTTTGTTAAAATTGCACGATTCAGAAGGCGGGTAGTGTGAATTTGATTATCTTGGGATTGTAAGCCCCCAACATTGATTAATTTTTATTGGCAACCTTATTTTTTAGCTTTAATCTGATTGGTTGAATGAAGAAATTCAGCCAGTTTGAAGGAATACTTGTTGTGATCTGTCAAACTTTTGTACCACAAGCTGATTGGTGCCTGGCACACTTATGCTTTTCATTGGTCCAAACTCACACAATTACTCCGTAAATACGCCCACGCACACCTGCAAAGTACTCATCAATGCTAGCTGCTGAACAGATGGCTGTGGGCTCACCTCGTCCATCTTCCATGAATGTCAGCGAAGAATGGAATCGCAGACCACTGCTGGATGGTTTTACGAGGACCAATCAGCTGTCAGGGGTTCTCTAGACGTCCGCCCTCACATTTTCCATACTCTGGCCATGGACCTTGTTGTTCGTGATTATTACCGGCCAGGCACAACCTTTCCTGACAGACGTTCTCAGAGAAAATATCACGATTTCACTCCTGTACGCCCAAAGAAATCACGCACGTGTCGCATAACCCTTCTGATGCCTCCGTGACGCGAACGCTACAAAAATTATGACCCCTTTTTGTTAGCTTTCTGTGGCCACAACGCGACAACACCTTGCACAGCCCCATGTGGCGGTGTGTGCGGGAATACGGTGAACAATTCCAGCACCGAATCGGGGCACAAAATAGCCCCATGCAATCGATGCCACCTCGGGCTTTTTTTGCAGCCAAAACTGAACACGTTCCACACACGAATTTCGGTCCGAACGGTTTTTGTTAAAATCGCCTGGCCGGAGGGAGTGAAATTCGAATCGAGCTTATCTGGCGCTATGTATGATTCACCCCACAAACGACGCGGTCACGTACACGATAATAATCAGGCGTAACTGCGTAAGCTCCTTCCTCCCCCGCCGGTTCATGTTAGTGTGTGTGTGTGCGTGTTTGACACAACACTAAAAACGCACCCTCAGAAATGGGTTGGTTTGAGTTGCTTGCGCAAGTCGGCGTCTTTGCGAGTCCACCACCACCCTCAGCGCCAAGAGGCCTCTTTCCAAAGCTGCTGCTAATTCCAGCTTGCTGTTGATGCTGCATCCGCTGCATCACAGGTGTTGAGTAGGGCAGTTTAAAGTGACTAAGGGGTCCACAACCGGAACACCCAAACGACTGATCCTCTCCAGCGCCTCCGAGCCGCGGTGACAGCCTCGGAGACCGCGGGGAGGGTGGGGCTGTCATCGCAGGCTTGTCGAACTCCTGGACCTTGCCGTCCACCACGACCAGCGGCACAGAAGGCGTCGAGGCCAGGGGTGGACGGGGTTCCGGGGAACTGCGATTCGACGGTGTCGGCGTGTCGTCGAGGTTGGCACAGCCGGTGGCCGTCGTGGTCCCCGCGAGAGACGGACTCGAACCCTTCGGATTGGCTGCCAAGGTGCAGGTTGAGGTGCTGCTTGAATCCGGGGTGAGTGAGTTGATGGGGTGTGACAGCGAGAAGGGCGACTTTGGTGTTTTCGTGGAGGGTGTGGAGAAGGAGGAAGAGGCGAACTGCGGCGGAGGACTGAGGGTTTTGGCTCGCGGCGTCGGTATGTGAGAGGAGCCAGTAGCTGGACATCGATCAGATCTACAGGAAAACAACACGCATTTTGGATGGTTAACATCTAAACTAAGCCACGCCACTGTAATTAATCAAGGTTTTACTACTCAAAATGCGATGAGAACGTCAAGGCAGCAGATGTCGCTTCCAAATTCTAGTGAATCCAGATAGGCTACGACTTCCCGGAGATCCGTCCAATTCTGACCACTTTTCATTGGCTGAAGCACCGCCATGATCGATTTTGATTGGAGTATTTTAGACGCCTAAGGATTCGTTTCTAAAAAAAGGCACGATCTCAAGGCGTTTGCGATGTTTTTCACAATTACTGATTACCTGAGTTTTCTTCGACTCACTGAAAATATTTAATTATCGATTGTTGCGTGGGTACACTTAGGCCCTCCCAAATTCCCTCTCAGGGTCATTTTTGGAGTTGGATATAGACATCGTTGACCAAATTTGCGTAGACTATACCCAGAACAAATTTGCTTAAATCAGTCAAAACGATAAGCTATTCAAAAGGGCTTAACATTTAAATTTAGTCAAAAAATGCTTAATTTGGACTCCAAAAGCAACATTTGCTGTAAAATAGGCTAGAATTTATTCATTAAAATGCCGCGCTGTTTAAATAGAAGATTAAAATTGCGTTCCAGCATGTCTGTTTGGCTGGTTAAATTGACTTTGTGGTTAAATTTCTCAAAAAAGCAGCTGAATTGACCAACTTAAACAGGAAATAAAGGACTGTTTTACTCGCCTTGACATCCCGCAAGTGAATTCGCGTTAGCAACCACACCGAGAGGAAGAAGGATGCGATTACAAGGCTGGTGTTCCTTCTACTTTTGTCGCAATACACCCCCCGCATCCCCCCCCCCCTATATCCAGCGCCAACTGGTGTCTTGGCCAATGCCAAATTTTGGTGGAGAGCCAATTCTTATCAAACGTGCAGCCAATCCCGCAGGGAGGGGGGGGCTGATTAAATGTCAGGCGACATTTTTGGTTTACAGACATATACACCACAAAAGTAACGAAAAAGAGGCAAATGCCAGACACCGCTGGGATTGGTTCCTTGTCGCATGGCTTGTTGTGGTACTACGCACAACTGACATCACACAACACCCAATGTCTCGAAGCTGGCTTTATCTTATCTAGACGAAACATCTCAACTTAACACCTTTATTTTGATAAAATAATCTGTCACACTTAGGTTTTCGTTTGTGGTGGAATCGAGGTCGACATGATTTGCGAGGAGTTCAACGTTGGAAGAAATCAGCTGACATGGAAGAAGTAGGCTGTGGAACCAGCAGAGAATTGTGGAATATCAGTATGGTGTCGTGGTAGAATAATCGCGAAGTTACAGTCAAAAGGTTATGATTTATTTTAAAATGGGGATATTTATGTACACGACTAAAATGTTTTTGTGTAAAATTAAGGCCAATTTTACAGAAAAAGTATATACTTTTTCAAACTAAAACCCTCGTTAAAGTCGTCATGGTTTCAATAGATGGTGTGTTTGAATCTTCGTTAGCGTTCTCATTGGATGCGTGTGATCAATGCCCAGTCAATACTATTGACCAATCAGCTTGTTGGGAACCTTGATCGCTATTGGTGCAATTTGTGCGGGTTGTTTAAAAGCGCTCGATTCAAAGATGCCTCGCAATTTTAATGCTAAATATCGATTTAAATCGAGACGACGGCGATGCGAGAATGTGCTAATCACCTTGAGCTACCCTTTGTTCACTAATTTAAACAAAAGGCTTGTCAGCACACAGCACAGTTTGCACTAAGCAGACAAAACCATGCTTCGGTACTTTCACTAATTAGCCAAATAAGTAACCACCGTTAACACGAATGAATCATCCGGCGAAATGCAACCGTGGAAATCAAGATTTACTGCGGTGTTCGGTAATGCAGACGTCTAGTCGCATCTGTCTGCGGCCATAAAACACACGCAGATATCATCTCACGCCGGGAATCGCGCTTACCCCGAGGGAAGTGAGCTATTACGAGAGGGTCGCTCACTCGAAGCATTCTCCTCCGGTTTGAAACTCTGGATTTTCCCGGCAAACCATCCAATGTCCTTGTCCATTCTTGAACCCTTATCGCCCGCTAGGTTCGTGGGACGTGGAATCTTCCCGTTGGGAGAGGCAAGCTGCCCGGCTGTCACCTGTTTCGATGGACCTCTACGCTGATGTTCCAGGCCTGTAGCGCAGACACTAGTTGCACGACTCACTTTGTTTGCTGCCTTGAGTTGTTCGCCCTCAACGACAGCCGGCGAGGAGTTCCAGCTGGCTCGTGGTGTCGCTGGCGACGAGGTGCAACTAGTTGATGGACCTGTGGACAGTCGAGTTGTCGCGATGGCGCTTTTGGTCACCTTGGGTCGGTTTAGAGTCCCTCCACCGCTTCGATACTTGACGGCTGGAGCTTCAACGACCGTCTTCCGCGTCACCTGCTTTGCCCTGCGTGGAACACACTGTGGAGTCCTGAAACCACCTGGGTTAGACTGGTTGTAGTCTTCGATGCAAAACGATTGGATGGACGAGGAGGAGTCCTGGGACATGATGCCACTGTCCCTTGAAGACGACGAACTAGATGGTGTTTTCGCAGCCTCGTCTGGCACAGCACTCTGCCTCGTGGGCTGTTTCACCTCCTTACGCAGATACCGCGCTTGCCTCTGGGTTATCGGCGTCGCAACGCAGGAGAGAGTGTTAGCCGTGGTGGCGTAGGGAAGTGCGGACGTTCGTTGCTGCAGCGGTTGCTGTGGCATCCTTCCAGAGACTCGTGGAAGGGGTCCATTTGGACAGCACGGCGAATTCGGGACAGAATTCTGTCGTGGAGTCTGGGGTGACTGCACCCGATAAAAGGGGTACCGTAGGGGACCCCCAGGCCCGATTTGCGGTTGTACAATGCCGGAGGGCAGGGTTAGGGAGGAGTACTTGTAGATCGGGTCCGCGATTGGGCCGCGCATTTCACGGTCTAACGAGGGCTGTTGTCGCACTATCGCTACCTTCGCCGGTTTCTTGAGGGTAGCAAACTTGGATGAGTCCTGGACTGGAGTAAATTTTGACAGCATTACTTTCTAACAGGCTAAAAAAGACAAAAATTACCTTAAAATAACCAATCAAATGCATTCTTTTTTCGTGTTTATATCACCCAGGCGATTTCTCTGAAATGGCATTTTTTGTTTTAAAATCTGCAAACTACCGACTTAGGAAAAGAATTTTGCATTCACATTATCGATTTCATCATGAATATATTAAAAATGTAAGTAAATTTTACTCCCGATTTTCACACAAAACACCACCATAATTTTAAAAATCGACTTCTGGCCAATCATAGACATTCTAGTGTGCCTGATCTATCCAATAGGCATTAAGGGAAGATAGAAGGAGCTGGACAAGTACTAGGCAGCTCGCATTTACGCACACGAGACTGATGACTCTTTGGATCATTTCTGAATCCGAGTGACATCCACGCAATCTGGGCGTTACGGAGCATTTTTGTCAGGATTTAACAACAACTTTACCGTCCTGTGTGATTTAAACTGACGTTAGAGGTTGGAGCTGATGTTTGTGGAGGTGGTCTGGCGGTGGTGATCACACTGAGATCGCTCCCAGGTGACCTTTTGCAGCACAGAAAGGCAGCATTTCGAGTGAATGCGGCTGCCTGCGTGCTAAGGGTCAAGACAGTTGGATGTTTTTGACCGAATGCAAAGAAAACTTGCTTCAAAGCGAGACTTGAATGCATCCCAGAGTGTTCGACACTTTGTTGAATTTGCTGTGAATCGTGCTCACTAATCCGGCTCGCTCCAGCCTCCGACACAGGGTCCCACTTTTCCTCAACTCCCCCCTCATTCACACGGATTATCCTCACACCTAGGTCTCGATGTTAGCGCATGTATGATTCACGCATGTGAGGTATAAATATACACGCGCAAACACCACCCACGACACCAACTTGGTTGAGCTCTGAAGTAACCGGTTGTGTCCACGTCCTCTCCGGTCTTTTTCTTCATCGCGGGCATCAGGGAAGCGTAATCGAGCCAGGGTAAATTCCGTGGTCCCGGCGTGGTTCAAGACCACATGCTGGGGCCCACAACAAATCAAAATTGTGGAGCCTCCGCAATCGATTTACAAATAGTTGGGGCTCCAAAATGCCTCCGCAATCGATTTACGTGCATTTTTGATTTCCTATATCACGGATGCAGCCATTAGCAATCCCGCAAGGTCACCCAGAGTCATGTTGGAATTGACTTGAGCCCTTTGTAACTCTGCCAAGATCAGCAACGCGATCCGATCACGTGTCTTAAATGCCTTGCCATCCCTACATTCATAACACAAAGTGGCAAAACTATGGCCCTTCATGCAAACAAATTATATAAAGCTGATCAGCACTGCGGAGGAGTTTTTTTGCTTTCGCAAGGAGGTACTCTCCGTGATCCATCTTGATGATTGTCGCCGTATTATCAGATCCGTCTGCTCCAAAACAATCAAATATGCCTCCAAAAACCATCCGTGAAACGGCGGATACAATAATAAGGTTTCAGTTCGGACGTAGGTTGTAATTCTTGGCCATTTCCATTAGCTGGGGGGTTTGGTAGAATAGCATCGGCACTTTAGTTGAATGGCAGACTAAAAAGCCTGCTTCTAAAGCAGCTGACGACAACTCGCTTGCACAAGGGAGTGGATCAGTAATTTGTGGATAATGATCTTTCAATCGGTTTTGAAATGCATAGTCAGGAAGCTGTGATTTGCCTGATTTTCCACCCATTTGGCAACTGTTACCTTGTTGGGCATTTTGCTTGTGTGAACCGTCCATGTGGCTGTTTGAAGTTCAGAGGTTCTCAAACCAGTTGGAGATATCGACTTTCAGCCAATCACAGGCTAGTCTGGTCTATCCAATAGGAACCGAGGGATTTCAAAAGAGGTGAACAGGCATTAGACAACTCCGATTCCTGAAGTCACAATCTTAATCAGTTAACAAGGGAATTTTAGTCGAACAAATATCCTCCAAATGCAAAAGAGGCAAATGAGAGTCGGCTAGACATGTGAGTACTTTCTTGACCTCTTCTAACGCCACTTACTTAAACCCTGACTAAAGGCTAGCATTGGAACATCAAAATTTTATTTCTTGACAGAGCCAAGTGCAATTAGCGGGAAGGTTTGTCCCATTAGAACAATTTTGGCATGTGTGTGTTGCATTTTCGCCACTACGGAAAGCAAGGCAAAAACAATGAGGGCGGTAATGGATGTCAGGCTTAGTGTGTTTTCGTTCTTTGTGTTCCAGCATCCACTACTATGCCAATTCTGGTTGACGAATACTATTGGATTTTGTCGGTTAGATGCTTATTCCTGCCACTCGACGCACAGGCAAGTAGTTAAGAGCTAGTGAAATTACAGAAAAACATCTGTG